GAAAGGTTCGGAAACTGAGCCTCTTCCCGAGTGCAGGGAGGATACGACCATATGCCGCTTCGAGGTTTCGCCCGCCCGACCCATCACGCGTCGATCATGAGATGCCATCAGGCCAAGTCTTCTCTCCCTTTTGGCATTTTTGGGGGGCTCCTCGTCCCCAATCGACCTGACGGTTCGTTCCACGATGGCCTCGCCTGCCTTGTCGGATTCGGACCCAGACCAGACCTAGACCGAGCGAGACCCCCGGCTCCGGAACACCCACTCTCCGCATAACGCCCAAATCTCTCTTCTGCACGAACAGCGCATCTAGCCTCGGATGGCAAGCCTACCCTGGGCCTGTCGACCATGACAGGCCGGCTCTTCTCGCCAGGCTTCAACGTGCGTGCCGTGACTGACTGCCTGCTGCCCCCATGTTCCTAAGGCAAATCAGGAGCAGCGCCGACAGAGCATCCTCGACCCAACCAACTATGCAAGGTTAGCCAACGCGACCTGGCCTTGATCGCCAACTTGTGATGCCTCCGAAACGCGATGCACTCCGGATCCTCGATCGCCTTTCCCATCTGGCGTCAAACGCAAACTGGCGGCTTCGTTGCTTCTCTCACGGTATATCCGGAGCCCCATTGCTAGACCTGCTTGACCTTCTCGCAATCTTCCGAGACGCCATCGTCCTCATCTCGAACGAGCACCATGACCCAGATAGATCCCCTGACTAAGATCCCCTGAATATGCATGCATGCACGTACGCCTAAAGAAACGCCCCATGGTCCCCGTTTCTCATTGACAACCTCCAAAGGCCACACGGTCCGATGGCCATTCTGCAGAGGCAGGGTCGAAGAGGAAAAAGAAAAAAAATAGACAAACACCTACCAAACAGGGAAACAAACGTTTCTTCTTCCCCGATCCTCTCATCTCCAGATCTCAACTGGCCACTCAGCCTCGTCGTCATGACACGCTGCCCCTTGGGAAACTTCACACGGACCCCTCCCGCGAGGTTTCACATCGTCGTTGTCCCCAGACCTGCACCCAGACCTGCACCCAGACCTGCAACCCAGTCCCTGCGTGCAGGTTTCTCCCGCCCGCGCACTCGGCTGGCTCCCGCATCGGCACCTCGTGAAATGAGCAGTTGCCCCTCATCTTCCGGAGCTCGATGCCCAACTCATTTCTCTTGCAGCAGGACCAGCAATCCCCCCTTATCCTCAACCCATCATGGCGGTGAAGGCCCCTCTCACGGACCTGACGGCCTCCAGGCGCGTGCGTCGCGCCGCGTCTGCATCGAGGTCGGAGGGGCGCAGCGCGCACGACGACTGGCGCTGGCGGCTCTGCGACCTGGCACGCCCCGTCTCGGATAACCCTGCCATGTCTGCGTGCGTTGGGTCCATCTGACCGTTCTGCCAGCTAACACGTTCTTAGCACCGCTCGTTATGGAGAGGCGAGAAGACGAGGCGCCTCTTAACACGGGCACGTATCGTTGCGGACTCAAAAGTCATGCCACGCGTCAGATAGCTAAAAAGAGAGAAGGAGAGAGAGGACTCCGTGCTGAATCGGAACAGAGTGAGGTGTGACGAAACAAACGAGCCGCTTCCCCCGGCTTCACGGGTACGGATTTTTTTTTTTTAAAGGAAAAAACTTGGTCATGTTGGAAGGATAGGGGGCGACAGACTACAGCTAGCTAGAATAGTGCATACAAAAATATACCACCGACACATTTCTCGGAACAGGGAGATCGCAGAGAAATGAGCGTGCACATGGTCTTGGCAATGATTTCTCTGCTCCTCCTCCTCCTCCTCCTCCTCCTCCTCCTCCATCACTCATGAACGCAAAAATAACAGAGTGCCTTCCTTTGCTGCCTAGCTTCTTGCGTACTTGCAGACATGCATGCGCACATATCAGCCTAGCCCAGCACGCGACCGGCCGTCGCCGCACCGCTACTGTCCTTTGTCGTCGTCTTCTTGAGCGCCTTGCCCATGGAAATCTCGCTGAGGAAGCCAGCGGGCCTGCCTCCGCCGCCGGGACCGCGGGGGGGGTCGGTTATCCCCAGGCGGAGAGCCGGGGTATGTAGCTGCTACACCGGTGAGGAATGAAGATGCCTGAAAGACACCATGCGAGCGTAGAGGGGTTATTT